ACTACAATAAATAAATGCTACAGTGCTACAATAGATAGATGACTAAATACTACAGCACTATAATAGACAGATGAATAAATACTACAGCACCACAATAGGTAGATGAATAAATAGTATAGCACTACAATGAATATGGCGTAGTACTTTACCTTGAAAAAGACATGAAGTTTGCTTGTGGGTGTGGAAAGTGTTGCAGCTTGTACAGTTTTGTGAAGTGGTGGAAGAAGAGTGATCTGAAACCAGACAAAGTTCTGGATGGATGTGGCTCATACTTAGGTAGCTGGTAGATGTTTGAGGTGTGTGCATGTGTGTGCTTTGTATGTTCCTACATGGCTTAGCTCAGCTGGGTGCCATTTAGTTTTTCTTTTTTTTTTTTTTTTTTTACGTTTACCTAGTATTTCTCTCGAGAAAAAAATCGTGCATAAGCAAACATGAAATTCTTGTTATGCTCCAATCGTTCCCTAATACAACAATCGCATTGGAACAAATTCGCATTTTTGGAAGAAGCCCTGTAACAGAACTAAATGTGCCCCTTTCAATTCCTTCTTCTTGTTTTTGATCACCATTCTTTCCCAGGTTAGAGCACCAAAACTTTATAAACTTTATACCTTTAATCTTTAAACCTTCATAGCCCAGCAGGGAGATTCTTTCTTAGGGATAGGCTAGCAATTTAGAATGACCCCGTAAAAACTCAGCAGCAACCTCCTTGCTCCCATGAGCACCAGGCAGCCGTCCCTCTGTCCCTCTTATGGACCCACTCACCATTCATCTTTGCTCTAACTTCCTCACATAATGAAGTCAGATTCATTTTCTCGAAGATGCTGAGGGTCACTTCCCATAACTGCCTTTCTGGAAAGTATTCATTCAACAGACACAATAGATTAGTGGGATTAACAGCTTTCAAGTCTGCCCAGGGGATCTTCTGGAAGTTCTCAGGCAGCAGCTGTGGGGACTGGAGGCAAAGTTTGAATTCCTCCAGCTGATACTGATCCAGGCCCATAAGGTAAGACAGAAGCTTCTCATAGGAACCGTCATCTACAGAGATGTTAGTAGAGGAGTTCATCTTGCCCAACACCCAAGATTTCCAGCGTCACTCAAGAACTGTTATGTCCACAAAACAAGTAGGACCTACAGAAAAGAAAAACAGAGTTGAAACCATAAGCCATGACTTGCGCCTCCTCCAAAACTGTCTAATCTATATACCTTCTCTGTTTATTTTCTCCTTATAGCACTGCCTTATTGCACACTTATTTATCCATCTCTCTTCCGCAAGAATGTAAGCTCCCTTTGAACAGAGACCTTTCCTGTTCTTGGCTGTATCCTCAGTGCCTGGTGCACACAAGGCACTCAGCTATAAGGAGAAGGAATAAATGATACTAAGCACCTACTCTATACCATGAATTGTTGCCCTCATTTCATTCTCTAAACAACCAGTGACACATGGGTATGTGTATTATCTATTTTATAAAAGGGACAATGAAATGACATCTTCAAATTGTTGTGAAGAAAAAGAAAATACTCTGCCCACCTGGATTCTATGTCCAGTGAAAATATCCTGTGAAAATGAAGACAAAATAGAGGAAGATTAGCACAGATGTTAGCTCAGGGCAAATCTTCCTCACCAAAAAGAACAAAAGAAATGAAGACAAAATCAAGATGTTTCCAGTCAAAAGCTCAGTTGCCAGGGGCTGGAGGTGGGGGAAACGGGGAGATGTTGGTCAAAGGGCATAAATTTTCAGTAAGAAGATGAATAAGTTCTGGGGATCTCAGGTACAGTGTGGTGACTATAGTTAGCAATACTGTATTGTATACTTGAAATTTGCTAAGAGAAGATCTTTAGTAGTCTCACCATTAAAAAAAAAAGGGTAACCATGTGAGTTGATGGTTATGTTAATTAACTTGATTGTGGTAATCATTTCATAATGTATACATACGTCAAATCATCCAGTTGTACACCTTTTAAAAAATCATTTTGTACAACTTAAATATATACAACTTTTGTTGATCTTACCTCAAGAAAGCAGCAAAATTTTAATGTTTTTAAAAAAGCCAAGAGGATTCATTGCCAGCAGACATATACCACCAAAAACTATCTAAAAACTTCTTCAGATGGAAGTACACCAGGACATAAAGGAACAAAGAGCACAGAAGGGGTTGATATATGGATAAATGTGAAAGACTATGGACCCTTGACAACAACATTTTGTGGAATTTGTAACATACATAGTAAAATATGAAAACACCACCACAAAGGATGAGAAGGAAGTATGTGAAGCTCAACTGTTTCAAGGTTCTTGTATTCATCAGATCACCTGACGTAATCTCTGGTACACTACTAGTCGAATATGAATGTTGAACTCCCTAAGGGAACCACTGTAAGAATAATAAGAGAATGTGTAACTAAAAATTAATCGAAGAAAAATGGACTAACAGGAAATATTTAATTTATTCAAAAAATGATGAGAAAGGAAGAATAAAAGAACAGAAAACAGATGTTGGAAAACAAATAGCAAGATAATGTACTAAAACCTAAATGTGTTAGCAGTTAGCTGAACATAAATGGGCTAAACACTAAAGAAGACTGTCGCACTGGATTAAAAATAAAAGGCACACTTCAAGTGTCAGAGCATAAAACATGTAAAGTAAATTAATGTGGAAGAAATGCAGCATGCACACCCCAACCAGAGGAAAACAGGTGTAGCTCTACCATTATCTAAGTAGATTTTAAGGCAAAATTAAATTATCACTAAATAGTGAGGACATTTTATAATAGAATCAATCCAGCAGGAAGGTACAGCAAGTCTAAATTCTTATGCTCCTAATACTATATCTTCAAAATATATAAAGCAAAAATAGAACTAAAATGATTAATTGGATATTTAAACACGTATCTCAATAATAAAAGGAAAAAGCAGGAAAAAAAAGTAAGGATATAGAATATTTGAACCACGGAATTAATCAATGAGACCTAATTGACAGATATATATAGAACACTACACCCAATGACTGCAATAAAAACATCCTAATTTTACGAAACGGTCAGAACACTTTAATAGGCACCTCGCAAATGAGGTTATTCAAATGACCTATAAGCCTGACTCATCAGAATTTTTCAGTTAAAACCATAAAGAAATAATACTACACCCCAACCCGAGTGGCTGAAATGATAAGGGCTGACATCACCAAGTGTTGTCAAAGATGGGGAGCAACTGGAACACCCATACATTACTTGTAGGAGCGAAGAGATTCAGCCACTTTGTAAAACTGTTTGCAGCCTGTCCTAAAGCTAAATGTACATACACCCTGCAATTCCCCTCCTGACTACATGTGCAAAAGAACATTCACCAAAAGACGTGTACAAGGATGTTTATAGCAGCTCTAGTGAATGATAACCAAACACTTGGAAGAACCCAAACGTCCACCAACAAGAGAATGTATAAATCGTTACACCCGTACAATGGAATTCTACAGCAATAAACAAATAACTGACACCTGCAGCTGCACAGGTCAACCTCACAATTATGTTGAGCAAAAGAGACCGGATAACAAAAGGTACACACTGCATAGTATCTTTATGTGAAGTTCAAAAATATAATCTATCGTGATAGAATTTGGAATAGTGGTTAGCTCTGGGGGAGCCAGGGAGGGGGCATTCAGAGGTGTTCTAGGGTACTGGAAACATTCCTTATCTTGAACAGGGACATCATGGTACATGGGTGTATACATAACATGCATTAAGCCATTGTAAGGGCAAATACAAGTCAAAAATTAAAAAATTTTAATTCTCACTCCTGTAAAAAGGGAAAAGGACTTTCCTCCTTTTTTTTTTGAACTTCAGCTTTGAGTATAATTAATAAATAAAATTGTAAGATATTTAAAATGATTTGATATACATATACATTGTGAAAGGATTCCCTCATCTAATTAATTAACACACCCATCAGCTCACATATTATTTTTTCACAATATATCACCTTATACAGTTTTTGTGTGAGAACATTTGAGTTCTACTCTCTTAGCAAATCTCAATTATACAATACAGGGTTATCAGCCAGAATCGCCATGTTATACATTATTAGATCCTCAGACCTTACCAACCTCTCCCTATTCCCCCCACCACCTGGTAACATGAATGAACCTGGAGGATATTATCCTAAGTGAAATAAGCCAGATACAGAAAGATGAATACTGCACAATCTCACTTCTATGAGAAACTAAAATAATCAAACTCACAAAAGAGAGTCGAATGGCGATTGCCAGGGGCCGAGGGGTGGAAGAAATAAGGAGACGTTTGTCAAAGGGCACAAACTTCCAGTTATGCAAAATAAATAAGTTCTGAAGATCTAGAGTGCAGCATAGTGCCTATAGCTAATAATACTGTGTTGTATGCTTAAAATACGCTATGAGGGTAGATCTTATGTTAAGTGTTTTTACCACAAATAATAATAATAAAGAGGGCAGAAGGAAACTTTGGGAGGTGATGGATATTTATGGCCTTGATGGTAATGGCTTCATGGGTGTACACTTACCCCCGAACTCATCAAGTTGTATATGTTAAATATGTACAGCTTTTTATATGTCAAAAACTGCCAATATATGAAAGAGTGATCACAAATTCAAGTAACAAAAAATGAGGTATCAAAGAAAAAAAATACTTGCTTAGAAATATCTCTAGTTTAACTTTGTCAGTCTTACAAATAAACCCAAAAAGATCCCAAAGCTGATATAAATGAATGTTTATGACAAAAAAAAAAACATAACATAAAATAAAATAAAAAAGATATCTGCTGCTATTACCTTTGGAGCTTGGTCCAGCCAGGATGCTGGTCATCTCAAAACCCCAGGGAGCATTGAAGGCGACATAGAATATAGCAGGACACAAAGCTATGCTTGAGGCTACTGGTTTGCGGACTAACGTCTCCCATAATGAGATCCTCAGAACAGGTATTGGTTAAAACCCATCCCAGCAGCCCAAATTCACAGGACTAGTGCTGAAAATGGTTGGGAAAAAGAAGGAGGAGGGAATACCAGGAATGACTTGGAAAATCATGGAGAAAACCCTTTTGAGTTATTAACAGAAAGACTAGGGGAAAAGTTTATGTGAGATTCAAATAGCATTAAGCTATCAGCAAACACCTACTAGAAGCCAGGGGATTCGCTACCCTAGGAACTGGTGACTCAGCCTTGAATGAGCAGATCTCATGAGCTTGCAAACTAGCTATGAAGACGCATGTTGAGGAAGTCTTTGTCTGCCTTGTTCAATTCTCCATTCCCAGGTACAACATGAGGCAGACATGAGGTGTTCGTTAAACGTGTATCATTTGCTGTCGTAAGTCAGTTCTCATTATTCACAATAATTATGCTCTGTAAAGTCGCCAGGACCCCTGAATTAGTGACTACTGAACCACTGCTTCTCCAGGAAATACAGGATCAGGTTCCTGGGAGCCTCTGGTCACAAGACTTTTGTCAACCAATCAATATATAACCTTGTTTTATGTGTGTCTCTGTTTAAAGACACCTTATTTAATATATGTTGTTGTTTCATTAACATGGAACTCACAACCAACAACACTATAACTCATGCCTGAAGGAAGCCTGTCTTACACACGTATTTCTCCATAAGGCACATCGCAGACTTCGTGCATTTAGGAACAGTAGGCAACATTTCAGAACCACACTTGGGGTCATGTTAAACAGTGATGTCACCAAAAACAAGCACAAAAATGCAAAAACATGGCACCAGAGAGACCTATGAAAAGCACACTTTTTTGTGTGATATTAGTTTTTTTTTTTAAAGGTGCCTAATCCATTTATTTTTTGTTTTTTGTTTAATGTTATAAACCAATGAAAAGCACACTTTTGTAGAGGATAAGAGCTGAAACAAGAAGGCAGAGCATTGCCTTGTCCATCCTCAGCTGGGAACGTGTCAAGTGACTCAAATTCTTCACCGCTCTATGCATGCCCAAGAATGACAGGGGAAAGCACCACGAGGATTGATTTTGGGGGTTACAAATAAATTTTAGCGAGTAGGTGAATTCACAATTATGGAGTCCGTGAATAATG